AATTCTCACACTGACAAACCTGTGTAAAGCCCGTCACCCAAGCATGACATTTCTGATTGCAGAGGCCTGTGGGAGAGGCACAGACTTCAAAGTATGCTGGCAGTGATGTCGGTGATTCAAATGTAATCAAATAGCCATCTACAGTGGCTGAAAGTTATACAATTAATATACCTCATTGATAAGTGCAATCAGGCCAGGGTAATTTTCCGAGAAAATCATAATTTTCAACTGCCTTGATTGGCTACTTCAGAGCTCCTTCAGTGCACAATTTCTGTAAAAAAAAAAAAAAAAAGCTTTGCCACCATGCTATTGCCAAAGTCTTTAAGGTTTTCATTCCACGACTTTCACCACCATTCAAATATGTGCACATTTGTTTCCTGCCATCTTACACTCATTTGAAATGCGTCTTACTTTTAGTGGGCCTATAAATATTTTAATAAAGAGCACTTTGTGATTATTGTTGACGGCATCATTGACCATTCCATCTTTACATTTAGTGTCTACCACAGCGTTTAGTGATAATGACCACCTGGTTTTAGAGCTTTTGGTTTGAGTTAATGCATACGATATCTGTTGATATGATATTTCCGTACTGCGTTGATCATGACATACTTCATATCTAAACTGTGTAGAATAATCGATGTCATTAAAAAGAGGAATTCTGTTAATTCCACTTCATTTTATTAACTGTGATATAAAAGGTTAAGCATAAATCCTGCAAAGGTACTTCAGGCATCACTTATTTTGTTTGTATTGTGTTACATCAGAAACCAGTGTGCTCAAACACTGTCTTATGAGCTGACGAGCTAAGGGTCCTAAAAGAAGCTTTAACAATAACGAAGACAAGTCCAGCACATGTAGATGTTCCCTGCAGAGACGCTCCCTTCCTCCTAGGATTCAGTTATTATCAAAGCCTACCTATATCAAGGTCAGTTTTAATTAAAATTCTCGTGATTATGTAAGGAGGTAGGGGCAGCAATCTGTAGATGTTCAAGATAGGACCTCAACAAGGGGAAGGGCCATGCTTCTTTCTTTTTTCTTTTTTTTTTAAACAATGCACTGTCGTCATATTGCTTTAATGAAATTTGAGCATAATATAATTATGTATGATATATTCACAGTAAAGTATCAAGTAAAATTACATTTTTCTTATAACAACAAAAAGTTTAGCTGTGAAGTGACACAATTTTTATAGAGGCAGGGTCATAAAAATCACTACATCAGAACTTGTTTTATAACTGTAGACAGTTCTTCATTAATATTATTTTAATAATACTATGATTATATCAACATCTTTTAAATATCCTGGAGCTGTTGTACTTTGCTATAATATAATATATGACAGTATGGCCCAGCTCATGTAATTGAAGGCTTCTATTTCTTAGAGCTGGTGTCAGTACTATCCAATCTTAAGTATTTTCGTTATTATTTTTGATGCGTTTGTTGGCATATTATTATGGTAGTGGTATATTAGTGCACGACTTTATTGGCTTTGTGTATATTACAATACAAAACTAAGACCTACAGGCAGTTCTAAAACTTGTCTGTGTGTGTAACTTGTATCAAAAAAACTTCCGGGTTTTTTGGCCGCTTTGCATCAGGTTTTTCCTTTGTGAGAGTGCAAAGCCTGCGAGCAGTTTCTTGTTTAATATGACTGCCTCTATTCCATAAAAACACAAAACCCAGAACCATCAAAATGCATTCCCTTTAAAACCAGGTACATGTGTCCGTGTTCTATATTTAGCACGTAATAAATCATGAGGCAGAAATGAATTTCACTGCTTCAAATGCACAAATCTTGGGCCGTAAAGGATTTTATTATTTTTTTTTAATCACAAATAAAGGTCTTTAAAAACATATTCACATACAGCTGAATAATGTGTTTTTATGACGTCAAAATGAACTGATCTCGGCTTTGCAAATATGTTCTTCAGAGAGTATGGTTAGTCTGTCTTGCTCTTAGCTTTTTCCTCCTAAAGCGTCGACTGAAGAATGCTGGTAAAAACTATTACAGCCTGAAGAACAGCCGCAGACAAGATCTTTCCAGTATTTTTCACTAGACATCTGCAGTAGCACTTTTCTTCAGACTGTGAAGATTTACTAAAGAGACACTACACTCTTTCAAGATTCTTTTTTTTTTTTATAGCAGTAGAGCTTGTTGAGAGATGTATCAAGTATATCACAATCTTTAACCTTGATACAGAGTGCTGTGTCAAGGTTAGTCTTGACATCAGTGCAGGCAGCTTTTATTTTATTTTTTTTGTATCATTGTTCAGATAACAAATGAACACATCAGAATCAATAATCAGAACACCCAATTGATAATAATTTCTGATACAGTGCTGAATGATTGAGGCTGTTGAACAGCAGTCAGAATGTGCCAACTGCTGATGTCTGAAACAGCACATCTTCTGGTGCTTATATTTAGAGTCCCTCCAGGTCGATAGTAAATATCCGGTCTCTTGCACTAAAAGCAAATGTCTTGGTTTTGCTTATGATTTTTCCCAAAGATGCAGAAACCTATTCTTGTGAAAGATTGGCTGTTGAATAATGGCCTTTTGTAAAACATCAGGGCTCTGATCTGAAAGATTTTTCTGCAAATTTCCCCCACCGTCACCCTGTTTTGTTGGTTGTTTTGTATTTAAACTACAGCTGAATGTCACTGTGGGCCTCCTGTCTGCCTGAGCATGAGGTTGGTAGCCTTTCCTGTCACCACGTCATCTTGGCTGTCTACTAATAAATCACTTTGAGAAGTGAAGTATTTGAAGGAGGTCTTGGTA